ATACAATATTAATAATTTTCCAAGTTTTGTGCAAGTTTGTAACAAACTTTTACATATTATGGATCTGATGATCTATAGACAAAGAAATATCTTGAAATATTACTAGTCGATAAACATTCCCCACAAGTTTTCAAATAACAGCACATCCCATAAAATCATACTTGCTTATTATGCAAATATATATTCCACCTAGTGCACAAAACATCATTCTGAAATAATTTAATCTTATACGGTGAGTTCCAACTACCTAAACTTGAACAACTTAAAATTAATAATCTACCTTGGCAGGTCTAAGATCTGCAAAAATTAATCCAAGTGAATGTATATAGTGCAGCCCAGTGACAAGATCTACCCCAAAGTTCCTCACAGCACTCTCAGGAAGATGACCATCCTGGGCTAGCAGAGACTCCAGGCTCCCTCCTAGAAAATTTTGAAGGTGATTCAAAATGAAAAATGACAGAATCTCCAAAATTTTCTTGTATAATTCAAACATCATATTTTCACATACAACACATCACTCTGGCTATTTTCAATGTTTGACTACAACTTCAAAATGGCTGTGAAAAGATGAAATATGCAAGTTTATTTTATCAAAGTGTTAACTATTAGCTATGGCACCTAAAGAAGAAAATATGCTTCCATGGAAACAAAATAGCAATTTTCTAATGTTGTGACAAATATACAGTCCAAAAGCCACAATAACATCAAAAGACAAGCAAAATAAACTGCTATTTTTCACACACAAATAATTTATCTTGTTATACTATTAAACTTTTCATCTGCTACACTAAAACAAAGGTGTAACTTACCTTCATTATGACGAGGGGCATACTTTAAATAAAACAATGTATTCAGTTTGATTGGCATTATTCCATATATTATATCCATTGATTCCTACCTGTACATAGCTCCACTACTAGCCATAGATGATTACTGGTCTCATACCACTCATAAAACTTGACAATATTCTTATGGCTGATCTCATTGGTCAGTCTCACCTGCAATACACAACACCAAATACCATATGTGACTTTTAATTTTTTTCATATTTTTCTAAACAATATGTTAACAAAACTCTTTAAGATTACACTGTACTTTGCGCAGTAAATACATGTATGTGGTAGTAAAGGCTGTAAAACCTGCTCTACTCTGGTGGCACAATAATAACTGTGTGATCTCCGTTTATGCATATTCACATCAAAATAGTGTACAGCATTTTACACATAAGTTAAAATATCTGAGCAAAAAAACATAACTCACATGATTTGTGATAAATGCTCTTTGAGATTTGTCTATGCAATGGATGGCAAGAAAGTTAATGGTGCCCTTCCTTCTGCCTTTGTAGATAACAGAGTGCTCTCCCTTGAACAATTCTTCATACAGTACAAAATTCTCCATAAGTGTAACACTAAGGTGGCATCATTTGTCAGATCATTTCTTCAAATCTGCATGAGCAATGTATAAAATTACATTATGGTTGTATTGCTAACAATTTTCCTGCCAAACCTAAAAACTCCTTGAAAAAAGTATCATTCTCCTACTCACAAGCCACTGCATGCTCAACCCATTCATGCACTTGGATTCAATGGTTTCTTTTTTAATTAAACAATTTAGTGCTAGATGTTTCCAGTAGCTATAGGACTGCCTTGTCTTCTACATGTATTTCAGAAGGTAACATTGACATCATCTACTTTTATAATAGGGGTTTCGTTGTCTATAGGTCTTGAACAGGGAAAGCCAAGCAAGATATTGGATGTAGACATTAAAAATTTGACTTGGAAGTTGGAGACTGCAAAATGTAGTCTGTGTATTCTATACTGAAACGGCTTATTGAAATAATGGTATCTCAGTGATATCTGTTATGTTTGAAAAAGAGCACCGTTCTCCCCAATAAAGTGGGGTAGGGAACCAACATACGTTTCCGATAGTTGCTTCTACCGGTCGATATGACTGGTAATGAAGACTACCATACATGTACGTTACAAGCTACAAGGAGTTCCAACAGTGTCACTTATAATATTACAAGTTTCTGCCAAAACTGCACATTTTCATTCTACTTTTTATTATATACCATAAATATGAATTTTGATTTTCCAAAGTTTAAAAGAATCAAGAACCACTTACCTCATATTTACACACTGAAAACATACAACTTTCCAAGTTCGGTTTGAGGTTTTCGAAGTATGGCGGTAATGTTGATATGCATTTCCCTTTATCTGATTGGACAAAATATCACATAGATGATATTTGATTTTTATTATCATAATAGAAAATTTCTCCTTTACTACCACCCATTAATAATGACAATTAAAAAAAATTGATGTTTTATATGTATAAAGCGATGCGTTATTTCATGCAATCAGAACACTGCACATCTGCAGACTACGGGTCTTATTTCCGGTCGCATGGTCCATTTGACAACAAACTCACCACCTTATATACTGCGTTTTTTTAATTGCTCAGAATAGCACAAATAACATGGGAAAGGATGGCGAAAAGAAAACTTACTGACATAACAGTCAGGTAGGTTTTGTAGATTGCATTATAATAAAATAAACAAAATATTTTTGTAAATTTAACAGTTATTCTTCACACACGGAGCAGACAGCTTTTCTTATTAATACATGTACACTGCTACCAAACTCAGTACTACTAGTACTGCTTTACTTGTGAAGTAAATTTACCACGGCACTGGTTGTTATCCAGACTTTTCACTCATCTCTTCTTTTTGCACCTTAACCCTAACCCTACCACACCCACTCACCAATTAAATAAAAAAAGTAACGTATGTAACACACATACTAGAACAGTACATCGTTAGATACATGCATGGGTTCATGGTTTCTAGATGCGTTGCATTTGCGAACTTCCATTCAGGAATAATATCACACTTTTAAATGTCATTTAGAAATGTGGTCTGCAGATATGGATCTTCTGTTCATGTTTTAGAAGCCTATAAAGTTCCATGTTTTAACACTCCTCTCTACATTTTCTGATATGTAAAAATACAGGAAAGATATACATGTAGGTGCACATACTGCCAGTTACTGTACAATGATGGTTAAGTCCTCTTTACACTTGATGGCATCATTTCTCATTTCTGCGTCCCGTAGTATGGCCCCATTTGAGAGTTAAAAAAATAAAACTCTATGTGCCGACAACTGGCTTCTGCAACCAGAGTGATGCTTCTGTGCCTCCTTTCTATATGACCACAGCGATGCCAGTTTCATGGTTGTACAAAGGATACTGAAAAGACACCGTCCAGGGGGTTTTGGTTAATGAATCAGCTGTGTTTCAGTAGTTCTTAAATCTTAACTTTGGTTAACCTTCATTACCTCTAGTTGCACACTTCTGAAAAACCATCAGTTTTTCCAGTGGCAGTGCTATAAATAAGGTATAGTTCTTCTTTATATCCAACAGTTATGCCAATATGAAGCCAAACATATAAGACTGGCATGACAGACTTTTGACTATAAATAACACAAATTTCTATTTTGCTATTTGGCAGGTGTTTAGATGACAGAATGCTGCATTAACAAAATCCAACAAGATGTTTGTATTAGCAGACATTAAGGACACTGTGCGTATTCCCCCATGGCAGTTCAATGTCAAACTCACAGATGCCGTGGTAGAGGCTCTTAACAAAAAACTAGCTAATAAGGTAATTGCTTTTTTCTCCTGATAAAGAGAGAGAAAATATACATGTAATTTTCTTTTTAAAACATGACAGTAATTTTCTGTGAAAGACTTCATATTTGAACAATGAAAATGTTAATTAGCTTATATTAAAAAGTACATGGAACTTTGAAAATTGATTCTTTCATCTTCATGGCAATTATTCCATTGAATGAATCATGTTTTATTTCACAGGTTGTTCACAATGTAGGACTATGTATAGCTCTGTGGGACATCACTAAGCTAGAAGACAGCTACATATTACCAGGGGATGGTTCCTCCCATACTGTTGGCAAGTGTTTATAATCTCAGTATTAGATCATACTTTGGCTCTTATGTTTCTGTAACATTAGTCCGACTATAATAAACCAGAAGAAACCTAGCTGTTTATGTTTTACTAGTTTCAGTGTTGAACTTCAGAGAAAGTTGTGGATACAGGTAGAACTGTCAGATATTTGTAGTGGAGGATCACTCTTTTTACATTTGGTTTAATGGACGTCCTTGCATAGTGCTGAAAATGCAAGAATTTTGCACCTGAATGGAAAATAGCATATAACTCATTATAGAGTTCTATGATTGGTTACAGTTCATTTCCGCTACGTTGTCTTCCGCCCATTTAATGATGAAGTTGTGATTGGAAAAATCAAGAGCAGTAGCAAGGAAGGAGTACATGGTAAGGAAGTGACAAGCTATATATAGGAAGGTGTGTTACTTGTGGTTTTTTGTATCACTGAGAGCTGCAGTCATAGTTAATAGAAGGGAGGAGAATATGACCTCATTCCCATACAGAAGCAAATCCAGAGATATTTTCTGACAGTCTTCCAATAAATTATCTTTGTTGATAGATCCTTCATTTTGACCGTCTTCCAACAGAAAAAAAATTAGGTACCCATCAATGTAAGCTTAAAAATCTGACTGTCTTCCAGAAGACCCTGAAGATGGCATCAATCAACCCCTGCCATAGACACCATCAGTCTAATTCACCATCAGTCTAATTCTTGTTTCCAACATATTTGTATAATCACCAGCTTTTCTGTATTCTACATAAGGAGGCATGTCATTCAGTTAAGCAGATTCCAGTCAGCCAGCAAGAGTCCCCGCAGAGTTGGGTCAATCCACATAGACCAAAGGTGTCTATGGGAATGGGGCCTATGAAAGGACCTTATAGTGTAGTGTAGTTCTGTGTGTAGTGTTTAATGTTAGGTAAAAAACATTGCTTACCTTTATAAAATTTCATCTTTTTCTTGCAAGCCTATATTTGTTTTCTTCATTTTCAGTGTCACTAGAGTTTTTTGATGACATCTTAATACCATCTGATGCTCTTCAACATCCATCCAGATTGTATCCTTTGTATCACTGTGTATTATAAGTAAGCTACCATTAATGACACAATCTTTTCGATGGGGAATATGGTGAATTTTACAGATACTGTATTTTTTAAGTCATCAATTTTAAAAATTAAAACATTTCTATTGAGCACCATAAATGTTATATATAAACTAGTACATATTTTCAATGATTTTAAAATTATACGTCTTAGGGATTGGTCATTTTTCACCATTGAAAAAGTTGCCCTTCATACATCTGTGATAACAGCAGGTTTTTTTTTGTGCTGGACAAGAATGTTCATTTTTGCAAGGTCAGTTAACTTTAGGCTGAAGGCAAAATCAGGTTGGTGGTAAGTTGCACATCTGGTATCTATAACATTGTGTTTTATAAATATTTTTTCTTTTCTTATAATCAAGATGTATCATTGTGGTTTTAATGCATTTAGTGCAATTTATAAGGCTGCTCTGCTCTCAATCAAAAGGTTGACTCTGCTTCCTGGCAGTTAGTAAAATTATTGGTCTTGGGTCATAAATGTCAGATGTTACAAATGCAGGATCAAATATTGTTTTATTACTGTAAGTGCTGAGAACTTTGATCAATTTTCTGTGGCCTTAACTTATGTCAGTGATGAGAGAGAGCAGCTGTGGGTGTGGGAGTACATGGTGGATGAGGAAAAACATGATCTGTACATGGATGTGGGAGAGGAAATCAGGTAGGTAAAGAAGTTGCACACCTGAAATGCTCCGTTCCTGGTCAATTTACAAGCTTGGGCGGCAAGTGCAATATCCAACAACAGCCATACACAACTGCGGGGCATCATGAAGCATTCTTACCTTACTCTAAAAATATTAACTTGATTAATTACATGTACCCTCAGGAGGTATAAAAGAAATTAATATGTGTCTCTTAACAGAAAGGGGTTTTCAAATGTATGTTTCTACAGTATGTTGGATTTACAGATCTGTAGCAGGATAATTGGTTGTTTTCCTTTTTAATTCCATGAACTTTCACTGTTGGCTGTTGTTGATCTTAATTAGTCTGAGTATGATGTGAGTGCAGCTGTAATTGCAATAATATAATTAGAAAATCTTGGAACCTTGGCTAGTGTAGGCCACATCAGAACATGACCAGTTGTTGTTTTCCTCAGTGATGTGTAATTAGTTTCTCTTAATTCTTGCAAAATTTTTTTTCATACTATTTTTCTTGCTCCATAAGTGATGAACTGGTCTCACGCGTTTCCAGTGGGCAGCACTTTTCAGGCAGAAATGATACTTTTACAGTATTAAGAAATTACCTGAGTGATAAAAAAGAAGAAAAAAATCCTGTCAGCAGTGCAGACTTTGTAGTGTCAGTTTCCCCATGTAGTTTTCATGTATCTACTGTACTTGTCAGGGAAAATTGAATATTGGTTGCAAGGAAAAGAGATGGAATAACAAAAAAAAAAAAAAACTTAGTGTTTTGTTGGCTGGAGCAGGTTGCAAGAATGTAAGAGAAATTTGATATAGGCTGTTATATTATAAGAAATGAGTGAAATATAATTGTTGAGAAACTGAAAATACCTTTTACATCATGGGGTGACTTATGTATGTTTTTATGGTGTTCTGATTGGTGAAAATTTAAATTTTATTTTTTATTATTGATTAATCACATTAAAAGAAATTTGTAACATATTTGAAATTACTTTTCAAAATTTAAGTATGATCTTTTACAGTTTTTTCAAAACATTTTACATTTTTGTCTTTTTTTATATATCTGCTTTATTAGTAAATTTATCATATATTGAAACAAATGTCAGGTATGTTTTAAAAGATTATTATTCTTTTTTTTTTCAATGCAAATTATCAGTGAATTTGTTTTTAGAAGTTCATGCACATGCAGATTATTGTGGCTAATCCTTACTTATTTCTTGGTCACCTTGTTTTTAAAGATCATGAATATTGGCAGGTTCCGTGTTGTGGATGAGGTGTTTGTGGACACCACCCCCTCTGGCCCTGAGGTATCAGCAGATAGCACTGAGGTTCAGGAGACGGACACCAAGAAAACTCCATATTCTTTAATAGTAAGTATATATCTCTGTGTACACAAACACACACTCTGAGACTTGGTAGTTTGGGAGTCACCCCAATTTCGATTGGTTACCAAGGAATAATGGTTTGCTACCCTCTACCAGGGCGACAGATTGATTTTTCACAGATATTCACAGATATGTCTCTAGATAAATAGACAGTCAGTTTAGTCTGATGTGACCCTGTAATGGAATCTCAAGGCTGATTACATGGCTGGTAACTGTTTGCATAACTGCTCAGGCACTGCCAATTGACAGGTCCAGTCTAAGTCTGCTTGACAGCAATCAAGACAGTTAATTGCCCTGACCTTCATCACAGTGGCTAGATTCAGCAGACAGCAGAGCCTTAGACAGGATGCATAACAAGCAGTTATCACATCGATGCGAAGCGAAGCTCCTGCAGAGCGAGTACAAAGCCTTTTACACGTGGGCAGAGTCAATTGTTTCCTCATGGTCAAACGTAACAGGGTCGATTCAGCAAAAAATGTCCAAAATAATAACTGAGACCCTGGTAGAGGGTAATGGTTTGCTGCCTCCACTGAGATCAGAGATGACATGAAATGTTCCACTGAGAGCACATCTGCCATGCATATCTGCATATCAGCAGACAATTATAACCTTTATTTTAAGACTGTCACCTGCCCAGCAGGAAGCCATCTGGTAAATGTGGGTGCAGACCATGGCTTTGTTCTTGTATATATAAGTATTTGATTACTGTAGTCAGTATGTGACTAAATAAAACATTTATCCACTCTGCATTATTATGTACAGACACAGATGTGTCTGTACATATAGCCATCATCTGCGTCTGTCGTCGCCGTCGCCGTCGTCGCCGTCGCCGTGCACTTTTACCGATAACACGATAAGTGGAAAACTGTTTTTTCTTTTGGCTTGAAACTTACAGAACTGATGAATATTCATAATACGCAGGTCAAGTTCGAAAATCAGCATGATCGGGTCACTTATAGGGAATTTATGCTGTTTTTTCACTTTTTTCAGCATATATGCAACACCGATAACACGATAAGTGG